ATGTACATGTGTCGGAGATAAATAATTTTATGAATATATTTTAAGCATTAATATACTTAATAAACTATTATATTATTATAACATAATAACTTCATATAAAATATTTGCCAATTAAGTGTCTAAAAAAATAAAAAAATGGCCTTTATAACACTTCGGGATTTTCTTTTCAACAACTGATATTTCTCTTATCATTGTAATAATTTTACTTTCCAGTTGCCTATTTATAGGATGAACAAATTCAAAAATGATGATAGGTATGTAGTAACATAATGATAAAATTTGATGTGTGATAATAGGTTAATTAAAAATATCTTCATATTTTTCAGTGAGAGCATGTATACAATTGTTGTTGTCTCTTACTGTTTTGAAGAAACAACTGATCAAAAGTGAAATTTTGTTGGTTTAAAATGAAAACAATTTGAATAATAAGCAGAAAGAAATGTCGTCCTATAATGTCTAAAATTTGGTTAAATATTAGATTTCTACGGTTATTTTCGTATAGTGTCAGGGAAAAATTATTTCAAAAAATTTTGAAAAATTTGGTGCATTACAATGGTTGACTTAGAGCATTTATTTTTTTTTTTATCAAATCAAATTGTGAAAAAGTATAATTTTGCCATTGAAGGGCTGCCATTTGAAGCAAACGGAGGCTACAGGTAAAAAAACATGATTATAGAAATAAGTTATAATATTAGGAAATTTTAAATTACAACTAATTGTTATTGTTACTTTTTGTTATAAGTAATATTTCGTCTTCTTATTATTGTAATATTTGCCTTAATTTTTTTATCGCCTTCGTATATTTTAACTGAACGCATTGCATACAATAAAGGAGTAATGTGATGCAATCAAATTTCACAACTCGAATTTTCTGTAGAAAGACACAAAAAGAAAGCGTAAATAAACTACTTTTTGAGATGTGTTTGTCTGTCTGACGATCTGTCAGTTCTAAGCCGAATTTCACTAAATTTTATATGTGTGAGTTTACTTTGAGGACGTGAAGATTTGATCAACTTTTGGGATATGTTCTCAGGAACTTAACCTTTACAACGGGCTGATTTTACATTTTCGATAATTTTTAGGAAAGTGTTCAACAGGTTTATTTGAATTTTATATATTTAAAGTTCGTCTGGGAGTACGCAAACCCACCTAACTTCTGATGGAAAAGCTGTCAGCAATTGTACTTTTACTATGGGTCAAATTTAAATTTTTACCCGTATGCAAGAGAATTGATCAGCCTGTACCAATTCAATATTTAAATTTAAGTTGCTAAAATACAGAATATGTTTTTTTTTGGAATTATAAATTAAAAGAAAATTAACGGAATAAAATAATGAAAATTGAAAATAGCAAAATGGTAATGATAGTTTAATTTCAAAATTAAGTTTAACACGTTTAAATATAAAAAAAAATGTTAAAATATTAAAAGAATATAAATTTTTAAAGTTTTATTAATTTTTAGATTTACTCTAAAATTGTACGCCTACATTCATTTCGGAATCGGAATTTTTCTTTTGGGATTCCACAAAAAATTTTTCAAAAATTTCGTCTAACAAAGTTATTGTTATAAAATATATTTTAATTTTTTAATGTTGCATAATTATCAAGCCATTAGTTAGATATTCTGAGTTCAATTCACTTTAAAACATAAATATAAAATGTAAAATATTGTATATACAAAATAATATGTACAAACATGTAATCATACATGCATTTGGTTCTACATAATTGTATATCAAAACAAAATTTATTACAACATGCAACTTGTTTTAAGACAAAACAATTAATACACAAAAATACAATTTTGTCTGAATCACATTGCTATTTCCGAAGATATATGTAAATTCTTGAACTTGAAAGAAAATATTATAGGTTTTTGCAAATTTTTATTTTATTTTATTTTTTATTTCTAATGTATGTGCAGTGTTTGATTGTCATTAACATTTTACCTTCATAAAAATGTAATATTTTTTTTTGTTAATAGCAGAAATTTTGGCAAGAATCAACACAATTTCAATACACATGACCACTTTTACAAATTTTACATGCATATATTTATATAGAAATAATCTTCTGTACAAAATTTACATATACATATATTTATATATGGTTAATGTTTACCATGCGCTAATGCATATGTGCTATTTTTGTTTGTTCTCATTGGCAGTGTTTTTTAACCTATATGTATGGTGACGACACTTTTTATTTTAAAAATAATGAAAATGATGTGAATTAACATTTTTTTTTTTATTTTGCAATATCATTGTACTCATGACGTGTCTGTTTATTTTTAAAGTTTCAAACGGCCAATGCACTTTTTTCAATTCGGATGTACAGTCATAATGTACGTTCAATTAACTTGCAATAATCGTTTATTTATTTTTATGTTAAAAGTAATATTTTATTTAAGCAACAAAAATTTGATAAAGGTTTTGTATTTTTATTTTTTTTGAGTGAAACTTATTCAAAAAAAAAAATACAATACTCGTAGTGCATTTCTAAAAAATGTTTCATACTCCTGACTTATGCTTAATTTTCTTTTGAATGCAACAAATTACAGTTTAGGTTGAACGATGAATTTTTATACTAAAAAAGCTTTTCGAAAGTTTTTCTCTTAATTCGAAAATATTTGTTTTTCGCCCTTGTACATATTATTTTGGGAATTTGCGACAATTTAATTTCCGTTATCTAAACTATTTACGGTACATTTACCTAGAAATATCTACTTCCACTTTATTATAATTTTTATTTGTATATTTTTTTTGTTTGTTTGTTTTTGTCTTTGCCAAAAAAAACATCATCTTAAACATGCAATTAATCTCGCAATTCCAGTTACATGATGACGCGGTAAAGAAGTTTTGGTGCGATGACATATTATGTCATCATGTTCTTTTGTAAAATATGCGATTAATTAAAGAGTTCTTTTATAATAAAATGTACAAAATTCAGAAATCTTATTTGAATTATATTTTGTTAAAAAGAATCTTAAGCATAGAAAAAATAAAAAAAAAATATGTATACTTTAATTCTCTTAAGTTTTAAAACATTTCTAAATAAAAGGTCGTATATACATACTCGTATAATCAAACACTTTTGAAGCAAAAAAAAGAATTTAAAGACTCAGTTAAACAGTCTCAGTTAAACATAAACTTATAAGGGCTTGTTATCGAAATAGGTTGGTTTTCGTTTATTTATTTCAAACAAGAAATAGAGAGTATAGAATACTAAATGAATGCTTGATGAAAAATTACGAATGAGTACAATAAACCAACATATAAACAAAACACAGGGAATAAAATTGGCATTACAAGATGTTGTTCCGTATATATAAACCAATATAGGTTTGCACTTTACTTTTTCGAATAAAAAAATGTAAAAACAAAATGTTATAAATTCAATAAACCAAAATGCTCACAATATTGTTTTTTCTTAAGGGGGATTTACATGTTCTTAATTTTTACTCATCACACGTGATTTGTCACTAATCGACACTGAAGTTTTGTTTACTACTAATTTAATATTTTAGGTCTATATCGCTTAAGTAATTTGATTTAAAACCATTGCAATTACTTTCTTTATTATATTTTTTTCATTTAATTTAAAGGTGGGTACGCCCTTACAATTATCAGAGAACTATAAAAAATAATCAAACAGAAATACTTTAGTTCTTATTCGAATTAAAAAATCCAAAAAATGTCTTTCTACTTCACTTTAAATTACAAGGAAACTAAGAAATTTTTAATATTGTGCAGAAAAGTTTAAAATGTTCAATTGGTCCGATTAGTATATTAAAAATAAATTAATTTTTCATATTTTTTTTAAAAGTAATAAACAAAATGAAAATAATTTTTCCTAATTTAAATTCATTTATTTTTTGCTAATTTTCCGCCATCTGTCTGTCACCCATGTTAATTGACATCGTATAACAATTATTTCTTTTACATTATTTTCATTATTACGAGTATTTTCATACATGCATAAATAGTGCTGCCTTAAAATAATTTATTTCTATATGAAATAGCTCTTGTATTAGAAAAAAATTTTAATCTTATTTATTATTGATTTGTTATATAATTTTGAAAAGCAATTGTTAAAATTATTTTTTTTTACATTTATAATAATAAAATATCAAAACAATTTAATTATATTTTGGGATTTTACCCATATAAAAATTTAATTTAAATTGAAATTCATTGACAATTTATAGGTTCTTTATTATTTTTGTTATTTATTCATTGAAACTTACATATTTATAAACTTATGTACATATATACATATACGTATATATATAAAATTGAATGAAATTTTTTTAATTTTTTTCTATTTTAATTAAATTAATTTTTTTCTATTTTGTTGTGTTCTGAAATAGATCAAAATCAAATAGAAATTTTTTCCTTTTATAAAACTTTTAATTTATTATATAAGCTTTGGCATATTGAAAACCTTTTTACATTCAACATAATTTAACATTTCCTCCTTCTTAATTTGGATTTTTATTTATTTATTTTTTTAATTTTTTATATACATATGTGTATGTAAGCATGAAAACTATTTTGAAATAAAAATGAAATTTTTTATTTAAGTTTCAAATTTTTCATTAATTCATCAAAAGTGGTGACAAAATTATATTTATAATTTGTATATACATAATTATGTACATATATATTTTATATGATGTAAAAATGAACTGAATGTATGTAAGTATTTAGGGGTTGCTATAAAAATATATTTAGATTTCAATATATTAACCCTTTAAAAATTAGAAAAGTATTGCGCAATATTATAGTTTTTCAAAAAATAATAAATTTCTAATGAAGCAAAACTAAAGATTTTTTTTTTTGGTTTCCATGTATAACAAAAATAAAAATAAATTAATTTTGAAATTATGAGTATGTATTCCAAAATAAATGCAATAATGGGTAAGTAGTTAACGGGTTAAATTCATATATATATATAAAACGTACAATTATTTCTTACAAAAAAAAAAATGTTATTATTACCGTTTTATTGCGTATTAAAATCACTGATTAAATACTGTTATATTTCTTTCAAAAAACCAATTTTAATAATAGAATGTCAATAAAGAAAAAATAATAAATTAAATTAAAATTGTAATAAATTTAGAAAAAATTCAGGTGTTTTTTCTTTTATTAGTTTTTTTTTTCTTTTTTTCCCCCGTTACGTTTCTTTCTTTTTAACAAATTTATTTTTAGTTAATTTTTTCGTAAAGCTTTCAAATAAATAACCGTGTGGACACCGTAAAGGATCAACTAAAACTGTATGGTTAATTGCAAGGAAATGCACAATTCAATTTCGAAAATTAATTTTTTATATATGTATGTATGTATGTTTATATTATTGTTTTGTATAAATGAGAGAAAATTAAAATTTTAAATAAAATTTATTATTTGTAGACTTTCTAAATTTAATTTTAAATTTAAAATAACTATATGCATATATAATTTATATTATATATATATACGAGTATATATATATATATATATATATATATATAGTTTTTAATTTATGACGTAAAGGTTTTGTTTTAAATGAAACATGTTAATTACTTAAGATTTTGAATTAAAACAGTATTTATATATACCCACCATAACTGGCGGGATTTTACAATAATTGAATAATGAATATACAAATATAAAAGGTGTCATAAACAAAACGTTTAATGAGTAATTTCAGTAATCTCACTGAAATTTTGCTAAAGTTGAAATGCAAATTTTTAAAAATTTATTTAAAAATTCATTAATATTGCTAAATTTTTGATCTACTAAGTATACTCACTTAACATAAAATTTGTAATGTTCTTAAATACTTTCTTTAGATACACTCTCCGCTCCATTTCACTCTTACATTTTATAACTAATTTGAAATTTAATGTGGAAATTGGAAAAAATTTTTTTCTATATTCTATATTTCTCTTATTTATTTTAAATTTAACAAACGATTGCAATTGCTAATTTCTACAAATTCAAAATTAAATTTCAAATTTTCTTTTTAATTCTCTACAAATTTATCCCGAAAGTTTATTTGTGTAGAGTTTTTTTTTAAATTTCATTTAAGAATAAAATTTTCAAACCATTGTAAAGCTTTTATTTGATTAATATTTAATTTAATTTATCAACAAATATGCAATAAATAAATTGTATTAAAAATAACACAATAAATAAAAATAAATTAAATATAAATATTTTCGAAATATTTTGTGAATTTTGTGATTTTGAAATTTTATTTACCTACTAATTTTTTATTTTATTTGAAAATATGTTTAAAAAGTTTAGATGATAATATTAATATTTAAATCATGGTTTTGGGGGTCAAAAACAAAATTAATAATGAAATATGTATATGTATGTATATATGTATATGCAATATATGTATTTTATACACACGGATATTTTATAATATACATAATATGTTTATTAGTAAATATAAATTTGAAATAAAGAATCAGTCGATGACGCGTTTGATTGTTTCTTTGTATTAATGATCAAATTTTAATTAAATAACAAAAATTATTTTGTTTTGCTATTCAATTTAAAAAAATATTATTGCAACATCAGAGAATATAATAATTGGCATAATATAAATTATAAAAGATAATTGAAAAAAGAGTTTGCAATAGTTTGAGATGATAATTTATATAGACAATAATATAAAGTTTCTGTAGGACTGGAATTCGAAAGAAATAATGAGCAAGTAGATAATTTTTTCGTATGACTTTCATTTTATATATAGGAAAGATAATATAAACAAGAAGATTGTATGTAAAATACCATACAAACTAGGGATAATAAGAATTACAAAAAAAAATAACTTTGATTTTGGTTATAGGATCGACATGTTCAGATAAAACTTCATAAAAATAGTTAAATAAAATCAAGTTATGGACACTCTTTTAGTTTTAATAATTTTGCATGACATTTGAAATATAATTGTTGATTCTGCATTTGGTTTACAGTTCCACCCCGTATTTTAGTTATCACGGTTAAATTTCAAGAGAAGCAAAAGAGTTCATTATAAATTTTTTGTTCAATTTTGACGTTTAGGCTATGCTTAAATTTGCACTACTTAGGTAATTATGTTCTAAAAATTAATAAAAATAATAATAATTATAAAAATAATAGTTAATAAAAATTTTTTTTATTGTAAATTATTTTAATGATATTTCGAATGACTTCATTACTTTTGCTTAGAACTCGCCTAATCGGAAAATTACAAAAGAAACCTTGTTATATGTATGCAGTCAAATTTATTTATACATAGATTTAATCCATTTAACCAAAAATTTATAATTAAATTATTGTTTTAAAACAAAAATTTCATTTTATGAAACGTATGAGACAATTATTATAAGAATATATACACACATACATATATACTTCCTTATATTATATTCATTGCGTTTGCATCTAGTAAAATCTGTTAAGCCTAATATCTACATATATACGAATATTAATGTACTTCAAATATTTCTTATGTAATATCATTATTTGTGACTGAATAGTTGTTATTTTGAATTATAAAATTAATTCTTTGTATATGTGCATATGTAATTCATTTGATTGGTTCCATTTTGAAAATATTTGTAACATTAATTGCAAATATTATTTTATTTAACAACCTCATTAATATTTGGTTCAAAATAACAAACAGTATTAGATGTTAAACATTCTATTCATTATGCATGAATATTTAAAATTTTTCAGATTTATTACGTATTATCACTATAATATTATGTTTATTACCACAATATTATGTTTAACAACAATATGTTTAATAATTTGCCAACTATCTTGTTCTTTTTTTACATATAATATAATTACACTAAACTATTTTTAATTTTAAGATTACATAATATGTAATAGGTAAGCATGTTATTTTTATAAATATTTCTTTTCAATAATATTGTACAAAAATATTTTTCGAATTGAGGATTTTTAAAATTCATAATTATATTCAAAATATCGGATATAAAATCAGTATGCATATAAATATTTAATGTTTAGAATAGAAATAAAAATAATAAATCTTATTCTCGGAAGAGTCGATATTCAACAATGATCTATGCGTACAGAGTACTTCATAAAAGCTTAAAAATTGAGAAAGAGATTTTTACAGATAAACTAAGAAACAGACCGACAGACATCTCGTTGAAAATAGTTTATTTACTTTTCCCTACCAAAGAGATGTGTATCCACCGAAAACTCTGTATGCCAAATTTGATGCCATTACATTACTCACTTATTGTATGCAATATATAGTTGGTAAAAATATAATTAAAAGGTACTAAAATTCTTAAACATATTAAAACCATCACAATTTATTTTTGATATACGTATTGATAGAGGCCGAGAATATCGGAAGTTAGTGTGTAGATAAGATTATGATAAGATTATTTTTTAACCCTAAATATAAATTTAATCAAAGCTGTTTTTATGTGATTTATGTGATAAACAATTTTTATATTAATAACTTTATTTTTTTACATATATACAAATTTACATAATTAATAATTGAAAGGGTGTACTCAATTGATAAAAACATAATAAATACCATTATATATAGTAAGATAATTGGACAATCAATTCAAATAATAAAAGTTATTTGATTATATATACAATTATTTTGAAACACTCACTGACATGTGGATCGGCGAATATTCTGTTGGTATGTGCATACTTAATATTCAAGCGATAATGAGAGACAAATATGACAAACATAAAAATTGAGTGCATGTAGGGCTCCTTTAACAAATATATAAACTTCAAATTAAGCTAAAGCATTTTTCTGTAATGTCCTGATTGATCATATATGAAGCCTTGTACACAATGAGTCAATTCTCACGCGTCTCTCTGTAAAAGTAAATAGCTGTGTTTTAGTTCAAAATCAAATCAAATTTTAAATTATTATTTTGCTCCTAATTTTTCTTTAAGTTACATTTTTATAAATAAAGCTAAATTTTTTGAATTTGACTGAATAAAAATTTCAAAACAAGTAAGTAATTGGAAAGAGTCTACCTTATGCAATCAATTTAACTTTGAGCCCTACCTCATCGTCTTATACAATATTATTAGAAATTTAAAACCAACTCCAATTTTTTTTACATTTTGTTAACGTGATACTGTTTGCCATAATATCGAGATAATACTGTATTTGAATGCAACATACAGTCACTAAGGTTTAACCAAGTAGTTACTTAAAACTTTATACAACATTTATGTTTGCTTATTTTAATGGTTTAAGGCAAAAATTTTCACTGAAATTTAAATTTTTTTATTATTTATGTTATAAAATGCTCTAATTATCAAAATATAATATGTAGCTCACGGTTTCTATTTTGACGTTATTTAAAATATCTGTATATGTATATATATGTTGATCAAATTCAGACAGCTTTTAAATATATCATTTATATATGTATAAACATATGTACATAGAAAATATTATTTTGAAATTATATAACGTACACTGACTTGTACTCGTATTATATAAAACTTAATACAATATGCAATGTGCGGTAACAAAAGCAAACAATATAAAAAGATTATATAAAGCAAAAACAATATAAAACAAAAACATATACGTATGTCTATACATGACATACAATATATTATAAGTGTATATATATACAAATGTATCAATAAATTTTACTACAAAATGTCACATTTCATTATCATCATTAATATTTTCTTTTTTTTTTTTGGTTGTTTAATTGAGCAATTTACATACACATATACATTAGAACATTACACCAACCACCTGTAGATTATATTCAACAAATACTCAGAAACTAATGTAATCATGGAATTGTAAATTATTTTGTGTTAAAAATGTGCAATTTTTATTTACTTTTATTACAAACGCATGCCCCACAAATATAAAAAAAATTCAAAACTTTACGAATCGCTAGTTATGTACAAAAATATAATATTCGCCCCTAAAAGTATGCAACAATTATTTTTTTTCTTTTTTATTGACTGGAAAAATTTTATATTTTATAATTTTCACATTTTCCTCTGTTTTGTTCATACTTGTATTTTTTATATTGTATGTTAGTAATTTGTAATAAAAAAGCTTTCCTGATATTTGAATTGTTTTTCTTTTGTTTTTTAATTTGATGAGTAAATTTAAGTCATTCTTTTAATTTCCGGATGATAAGACGTGTATAATATGCTGTGCGTATATTTTTGAATATTGAACTTTTTTTTCGATATTAATATCGCATAATAAAAGTAAATTAATAATATTTTAAATATTAATTGTTTAATAATTTACATCTATAATATTTGAAAAAATAATAAGTGAATGTAACGATGGTATAAGAGTGCAAATTATTAGAAAATATTTTAAAAAGAATTTTCCAAATGCAAAAAAAAAAAATTTTTTTTTTTAAATTTTCCATACTTTTTTATCTTCTATGTTTTTGAATTTCTTTCAATCACTAATTAGATTAACCTTAGAATTTTCATGTGACAAATAAAAAAAAAATATGTATTCAATATCAAAATAGGAAAATAGTCACATAAGTACGTACATATGCATACATAAAAGTACATATTATATATACAAATTAACCATGAAAAAATATTAGAAATCCAAAAATTTATATAAGTTATTTAAAACATACATGTGTAACTTATTATAATAAATAATTTTAAGATTAAAAATAATTTGTAAATAAATAATAAAAATTTTGTAAAACAAAGTTGCAAAATATAAAATTATTATGGAAAAACTTCATGATTATCAAGGTTGGCAAGGGCGATTACATGAGTTTCGTGACAATGCCAAAGAACGTTTTGCAAGTTTTCGTGAACAACATCCAGAAAATTTAGCTGAAGCTGCTAAAAATGCAGCATTAGGAACATTAAAAGGAAATGCTAGTGCTGATCAAGATTTTTCTCATATATACAGGTATAAAATAATTTTTTCAATTCAAACTATAAAAATCTATTTATATATTCATATATATATATATGGATATAGTAGAAATGTATTTATAAAAACATATATATTTTTTATATGTATATTTAATGTACACAATAAATACGAAAAAAAAACGGTAACGATTTTTATACTCGTACGAACGTATGTTCGAAAGGTATACTAAATTTGCCTTACCGTTTGTAACGCTAAGAAATAACGGTGCTAGATATAGACTCAAGTGTATGTTTTTGATCAGCGTCAAATTCTGAGTTGATTTAGCTTTGTCTGTCCGTCCGTCCGAACGATAACTCAAAAACTAATTAAGCTAAGTTCACCAAATTTTCACAAATAGTTTATTGTAGTAAGTGCCAGAACCCTATTTAAATTTGACGTGATCGGGGTACCGGTTCGGGTAGCTGCCATACAACTTCAAAATTTATTTGGCTATATCTCAGAAACTATAAAAGTTGTGGTATTGAAATTTCACACAAACGAATATATTAGTAGGGCTAATGCGTCATATAAAAGTCGTTGAAATTACTTGGTTCCTTCTGGTACCTGCCATACAACTTCAATAGTAGTTTGGCACAATCAGTATTTTGAAAAACACATAGTACTGAAATTTTGCATAAATTATTATGGTAATACGGCAACTTAAAGTTATAGTCTGCCCCATAGTTAGTTATGGCACATTAGTTATTCGCACATAGGATAACAAATTCGTACGGGTATCACAGAGTTGACAAGGTCAACTCTATTTTTTTTCTCGTTTTTTCTCATTTTCTCACATATTTTCCATGTAATTTTAGTATAACAATTTGTTATAAAATATTTTATGCACTTATCCTTATTTTTGTTTTAGATTTAATATTTTAAATACAAATCTTTTCAAGAGAGAAGGACAATTTTTAATTCAATATGATTTTTTTTAAAACAGTACTAATCAATGGAAATTTTCTTGTACATACAATAATGCAAACTATACATATTGATGAAAATCGCATTGATCTTCGTTATTAATAGAAAAACAACACTTACAATAAGAGTTCTTCATAAATATGTGCATCAACTTAAAGACATACATAGGTTTAATACAAGAAAAATATTCTGATTGATGTTGAATCGCCAAAGTTAATTGAACATTAATGAATAACTTGTTTTATGATTAATATTGATGAATTTTACTATGTTGCAAATTCATCTCTTTACCAAAATCAGTAATTGAAATTAAGTTTAAAGATTCGATCAATAACTTTTATTATGACAGATTTATTTTTCCCATTTCTTATACAATTGGCTTGATTTAAATATACTAAATGTCTCCTACGATTTCACATTAAAAAGATGTAAACTCAAATAAAATAGTACCTATACTAATACCTTAGCTAAGGAAATTCGAAATAATATATTGTCCATAAATGATATAATAAATATAAACTTTAAAAATTCCTGACAACGAAGCAATAATAATGTGTAGTTATTTATTTTTATTTTAAGTTTTTAAAGAAGTAAACAAAGAAAATTGCTTCATACAACTGCAGAACATATGAACGACCTATAGTCAAAAACATTTTTTTTCTCCACAAACTGGACTCCAATCATTTCATACTTCTGCAGTTTAGTTGGTACAAAGTCTGCCTATGTCACTGGTTCTTCTAAAGAAATTATAGCGTATTTTGTTAGAAATCGAAAAACATTAGTTAAAATTTTTCTGAATTGCATTGTTTTTCTTTCGTACTTCAACTGTAATTGTGAATTTTACACATTTTCGATTTCATCTAAAAGTATATGATTGTGTTGAACAATTGTTTTTAGCACTTTCGGAAAAAAATTCGGAATAAAAGTTTATTAATTTCATTGTCCGTCCATCTGTCCGTGTGCCTGTTAGACATACGAAGATAAAAAGCTGAAATTTTATATATTAATAGATCTTTACTAGAAACTTATTTTTGTAGTTTAAAGTTTTACCTATCTCCCCTCCCTTTAAAAGTTATAGCCCCTCAAAATTCTACAAATGCCATTTTTCATTTCATACTTGCTACAAATGTCATTTCTTGACTATAATTTATAACGAAACTACATAAATTTTTAAAATTCTACAAGCGCAAATATGAAAAGTAGAAAGGCTGGCTTCCTTTACCGCAGTATAGTATTATTGATATTAAAATTACCGTTAAAATTAACGTTATCTAAAAGTGCTTTTTTTAATTTTTGATACAATGTAGGAGTCTAAAATTGTAACAGCTTTTAGACACTAACAGATTTTTTCGGTAAGAGAAATTTTTTTCCACTATCTGAAGCTTTAAAAATCTATAGTACCTATATAAAAATAGTGCCATATAGTAAAGGTTTTAGTAACTGGTCTTAAAATAAATTAAATTAAGAGTATTGAAAAATTTAATGTTTTAATTTTTAATTAATGTGTTAATTTTTTTCAAGAACCTATCTTACGTATGGATTTCTGAAATAATATACTAGACGAAGTTTTCTTAAAATTATTTTATAGCGCTATGGGTTCAAAGACAATATGACCCTTGCATTTTAAAACACATCTTTTTGTTGCCAGCATTATTACGTTTATTAAATCACAGATGGCATACAAAGCAGGTTATCTTGTTTACATAATTTAAATACAAAATGAAGCAATTTCAATATGCGTAACTCTATATAAATAATAAACTATTATATTTAAAAAATTTCAAATTCCTATACATTTTGCTTTCATTTGAAAATGAGAATTTTTAATACAAATTTTAATATAAAGAAAGAAATCGCAATAATATTATAATCATATATTAAAATAATACGATTATATAATTTGTACTTTGTTATACATATATACACATAATATAATATGAAGTGTGTAATACTCGTATTTATTAATTTCAAGATATTAGTATATTTGTTGTCAATTAATGACAACTCCTTTAAATTATATATATACAGGGTGATTCAGCAACAAGTTATTTTTATTCGAAACAAAGTGCCAAACAAGAACCGTTTTCGAGCTACAGGGATTTTAAAAAAATTTGGCGAAGTTTTGATATACCTAAGTTCTTTTCCTTATAACTTCCGTTTTGAAAAAAATAGAAGCTTCAAACAAACAGTTTTTGAAAGTACTGATAGAGTGTTTAAAAAAGAGTAGCATATTATTTGATTTTTCATGAAAATTACAATTTTTCTCATTTTTTTACTTTTCGTCCTGAAAATTTCTCATAAAATTTAAAATGCCGTGCTCTTTAAGCTTTTATTTATGTTATCAAGCGTTGAAAAATCTTTTATGATTCTGGAAGTATAGCAAAAAAACTATTTCATAAATCCAAGATAATGCCATAATTATTTATAGCTTTTAGTCAAAGTAATTATTGTAAATAATAGTTGATATATTTGAGAACCGTTATTTTGCCAAATCTAAATTTTTAAGATTTTTAAGATCATTCTCTTCTCTTACCATAAAAAATAAAATAATATTATACGTGAACGAGTAAAATTTTCAATTTCCTTCTTTGATTTTCTAAACAACAACTCTTATTTCTTTCGAACCACGAAACTTCGCATTTAACATAAGATCTGGCAATATTTAGCTAAAATTAAAAGTAATTTTATTTTTTAAATTATATTCTTATAATCTTTATTCCTTAGAACTAGAACTTTAATATTACTTAAAAATCATGTAGTTCAAATAGTTTTATATTAAATTAAAATATATTGATACAAATTTAAAGAAAAAAGTCCTTATTAACCTATAAAATAAATCATTAAATTAAATAATATTTTATAATATATATATATATATATATATAATCATGTTGTTATTGTAAAATAATATCATTATTGTGAAAATATTTATACCCTTGTAATAAAATTAGCATAATCCAATATACAATTTTTATAAATCAGTATAGGAAAAAATACAAACAACAAAATTCATATAATATTTCAATTTTAACATCAGGATATTTCGAGTCAATGCTAAAAGATTTTGTTCCTATATTATAATATATACATATGTATATACGTATAATGCAATTCTAAAAGTATTTAAACTTTGTCCTTTTGTTGCCTCCTTTTTTTCTTATTATTATTTATCTTCTTATATACTCGTAGAATATAAATTTCTAAGTAACATTTTTTTTGTTGATATATAAAAAGATAAAAATATATATGTATTGTATATATATATATAACAACATATACATAAACATACGTACTAATATTATTAAATTTAATCTTTTTTTATTTTTTTTTTTTGTTTATTACACAGACGCAAAACCCGATTGGAGCTAATTAGAGTCTCAGCGGCTGTAATGGGAATTGAATTTTCGTATGCAGCAGAAACAGCATTTGTTAGTCCAACTTTATTAAAAATTGGTGTTGAACATCAGCATATGACTTTGGTATGGGCTTTATCGCCTTTAGTTGGTTTCTTCTTAACACCAATTCTCGGTTCAATGAGCGATCGATGTAAATTAAATTTGGGACGTCGACGTCCTTTTATTATTTTACTCTCAATCGGTGTATTTTTAGGTATGAATAAATATTTTTTAAAATTTTTTAAAATCTTACCAGGTTACGAATGCATACATAGTTGTAATATGTGAAAAGACAATGAAATATTATCTATTAATTAATGATTAACTTTTAATATATTAATTATTAATTATAACAATTCATTATTAACTATTAATTAATAAAATATTTTCCCTATACAAAATCAATCAAATTTTTACCAATAGAATCACATAGCTCTCTTATTAAACGAACCAGCAATATTTAATTTATACAAATTGATAAATAACAATTTAGTTAATAGTGAAAATATAAAAAAAAATTTTTTAAAGAATAATCAATTTTTTTTATCCTCTTTTTATCGGTTGCCCTTCGAATTTTCAGCTTGCTTTGTATTGTAAAGTGTATGACTACAACTGAATGTTGAAGTCATCCAATTTGTTTTACAATTAAATGTGAATTATTTTAGTATCAATGAACAATATATTTCACTCCATTTTGAGCTTTAACAAATTTAGCTATTAAGATTCTGAAGTAGTATCAATCAATATGAGCTACGTTGATTTAGAGATTTTAATATGTAACTTGATACATATATCGATATATCAATGTGGCCTACATTGATTTAAATGAACATTACGTAATATTTTAATAAACAAAAATTTAGGTTTATTATTGGTACCGAATGGTGAAAATCTTGGCTATTTATTTGGCGATGTTGATCCACATATGCAAATTTCCGCAATGAACTTAACTACAAACCAAACGGTGAATAATATATATATATCGCCACATCGAACTTCAGCTTCTGATACAAAAATTGAAATAGTGCCAAAAACATCACATCCATGGGGAATATTATTTACAATCATAGGCACTGTTTTATTAGATTTTGATGCAGATGCCTGCCAAAGTCCATCTAGAGCCTATCTACTAGATGTCACTGTTCCAGGTTCTTAAATTAAATTCACAGATTTATATTTCATATTCATTAAGATTTATATTTTTGTATAGATGATCACGCTAAAGGACTTTCAACTTTTACTATAATGGCTGGACTAGGAGGTTTTTTCGGTTATTCAATGGGAGGTATTAATTGGGATGATACTACAATTGGTAAATGCATAAAAAAATTAAGTTAATAAAATGATATTATTAACGATATTTCTTTACATATATAGGAAGGAGATTGGGTGGGCATGTAAAGGCAGTTTTTACCATAATAACATTCATTTTCATTGCCTGTGTTGTATCTACCATAACTAGTTTTAAGGAAATTCCTTTGTGGGTTCTTGCAAATCCAAAATATAAAGGTGGTGCTGCTAACCCAGAAGGGGAACCATTAGATCGCGATACTATTATGTACGGAGCATTCGAAGATGAAGGAGATGCAGATGATTTGGAAATGGTAAAAACTTTTGCGCTTAATGGAAAAATGTGTTTTATTTCTTTTAATTAGTTAAAATTTCTTCTTCAAAATGAAAATTTTGTTCTTATTGGGTATTAAATATAATGTTCTTTAATAATTTTTTTCTTTATTTCCTTTTAATAATTTCTCTTGTTTATTGTTTGAAGAAAAAGCAACGTTTAAATCTTCCTGTAAAGTCAGAATACGCAGAAGTCCCTGGGGAAAACATAAATGAAACATCATTTACAAACGATGAAACAGAAATACCATTAAATGATGGTGGTGGAGTGGGTGGATTAAATCAGAATACTGGAAATAGTATTTTAAATGAAAATGATGGTGAAGCTGCTGTACAATCTCTTTCACATTATTTACTTTCAATTGTTCATATGCCCCACTCACTAAGAATGGTTTGTTTGACAAATCTTTTTTGCTGGATGGCACATGTTTCATATTCATTATATTTTACGGATTTTGTTGGTGAAGCTGTATTTGGTGGAGATCCAAAAGCGTTAGAAGGAACAGCAATACAAATGTTATATGAAGAAGGCGTACGTTTTGGATGCTGGGGAATGGCAATGTATTCATTATCGTGTTCGTGTTATTCTTTAATAATAGAAAAATTAATACAAAGATTTACGTGAGTTTCCTTATTTCTATTTTCATTTATAAAAATTTAATTTTAATTTAATTGTCTTTATTGATAAGACAATTATATTTTTTATGAATTGTATACATACTTGTTTGCAAGCCTGTCGTAGAAAACCCTGAACAATTGTTTTAAAAATTTTCTTTTAATGCTTTAATTGAACAATAAGCGGTTTCCCAAAATCCGTGACTTCAATAATGCTTTATAAAAAGTTTAAGTACGGTATTAATACAATTGTAGTACCATCTCAGAGCTTTCAATACCTTTACATTGTAAAAAAAACTGCTAAAGCTTTTGATACATCTTGGAATACAACTTTTACAATATTAATATGTACATACTTTGGCGTTTGTTTGAAAATTTCAATTAAAGTTCTGTGCAAGTATTAATTTTGAATAAACGTTGCTACATCATTAAAAACATAGCATTTTTTTGCGGAAATTAGGAAAAAAAACTTAATAACTAGCACTTTATTGCTGAAAATATGTACTAGTTTATTTAATTGGTTATTTCAGGCAAGATTTATGTGACATGTATGTATAAGAAAAGCGTGCTCAATTTTTTCGAAACCCAATTTACATTTATTTTACGTATCCACTACGTATAGAATGCATTTAGGAAAGCTGTACAATGTCAACAGCTTTTACTTAACTTTTCGGAATGTGATACTTTGTAAAGTTTACGTTGTAAGCGCATTGTTGAAGTCACGGAATGTCAGTATTACAATGGGTAGCAAAATTTTTATAAACTTTTTACACAATTAGATATTAGGTTAAGCTACACAGTTGGTAATTGAAACTGTTATTTAAAAAACAATTCGATAACGATACGGCAATAAATTTATTTGTATAAAATATGAAATTTATTTTTATTTTTGACTTTGCAACAATTAATAAAATTTAGCTTAATTTATTCTCCAAAACACATAATTGTTCATTTTAAGTTTTAGAAATATTAAAAACATTTAAATTAAATAAAATAATTTATGTTGTTTTTTATACAATCACATTAATGTTTGTTAATCCTCGATATCTATCAGTGCAAAGCCTGTGTATATTGGAGGATTATTGTTTTATTCAAGTGGAATGGTATTAATGGCTTTTACAAGAAGTAAATTTAGCGTGATAATTTTCAGTTGGACTGCTGGTGTCATGTAAGTATTTGCTTGATTTTCTAAGTTTAATAATTTAAATTGCAAAATAACTTTAACCTGAAAATTACAAAATTATAAGTAACTTTTTTTCATAGGTATTCAACGTTATTTACGATGCCTTATCTTTTAGTGGCCAGATATCATTCAAAAGGAGTTGTAAGCAGACTCAAATGAATTTATCTAATCGTTTTTACCTAATACTCTTACTTTTTAGTTTGAAATTGGTGCAGATGGGGAAGGTAAATTGGGTGGAGATGTCAGGGGTTTGGGCACTGACGTAGCAATTGTATCTTCAATGGTTTTCTTGGCACAGTAAATCTTTTTTTTTTTAATTTTCTTGTTTTAGATACAAAGATTACTTTATATTTAGATTCATTTTGTCTTTATGTATGGGTACAATTGTAACAATGTCCGGTACAACAACTGCTGTTGTTAGCGTAGCTAGTTTTTTAGCACTTTGCGGAGCAGTATCAGCCACTCAAATAATGTATTTGGATTTATAACCGATTTCAAAGCAATTTTTGTTATTGTTCAATTCGACGAAAATGAATTTGTTATGTGAGTCCTTAAATTAAATTAATAACATTTGTAGTTCATGTTACATAAAAGTATTAATATTGTAAAGCTATTAAACTTAAGAAATGTATTTGTTTAAAAAAAATTATTTGATGCCTAGCTATGGATTTGTGAAAACATTTATTAACATAAATTACTAACTAATGTACCTATTAAATTAATATACATATACATATTTATTGAAATTTTAAATGGCAAATATTAAAATAAAAATATTGTCTTCGAATATTATTATAATGTTAAATGGTTGAATTAATTTTTTCATAGCTAAGGCTTCTCCCAGTCTAGCATATACGAAACCTTTGAAAAAAGTGAGAAAACCGTGTAGACGGTATATTTTGTCAAACAGTCGATTAAATAAAATAAAATGATTTTTTAAAAGGAATTCGTTAAATTCAAGTTTTTAGTAAATTTATAGACTTAGCGCAACTTACAGAATTTTTTGTCTGCACGTGCCTCCTAAAATAATTCCAACAAGAACTTTAACTTAAATAAGGATAAAGAAACTTGAAATTAAAATTTAAAATATAAGTTTTATTTTTGTTTTTTTTTTTTTCAAGTTAGAACTTGTGCTGTATAGGATACATAAATATAATTGGACGGAATTCATCACAAAAAAAAATTGAATTATGTGTAGCGAACACATAATTTAAAGTGAGTGTTTAGTAGTGTGTTGTGCAGTTTTTCTTTTTGTTGTGAGTTTTAAGCTTAATTTAGTTTCTTAAATTATTTCGACATTTATCCATTATGTCTTTTCTAATAGCATGATAATCTGGATGTATTTTCAAAACTTGTTGGCAAATATCGACAGCATCTGCATATTTTTTTACTTTCATATGGTTTTGTGCTAATTTATAGCCAATTTGAGGTTTTGATTTACCACCAAAACGCCAGGCATTATCATAGGCACTTGCAGCATTTTTGTAAGACTGTTCTTTTTCTGCAATATACCCTTGAAATTCGTAAGCTTTCGCACATGATTTGTTATGTTTAAGAACTTTTTGCAAGAATTCTTGCGCTATATCATACTTATTAGCCTGTATATACAAATCGGCTAATATTAACCAACATCGTTCCAAATATTCTGCCTCTTCGAAATTCCATGTGTTTTTAGCAATTCGTTTCAACTGATTTTTCGCTCTTTGCGTTTGTTTCATATATATAAATGCGCAAGATATACCATAAACAGGACCAACTAATTCTCTGTATTCTTCTTGTGAAGCAATTTCAGTTAAATCTTGAAGCGCCTTCTCAATTTCAAATTTTTGTTTAGACGCCAAAAGTAGGAAATTCGTCAAAAGACGATGATTAACAGCTTCGTTATCCATTCCCCCTGGTCGGGGTTTTAACTCTTTAAGCAAACGTTCAGCTGTTCGTAAGGCCATTATACGCGAGTCTTTAAAATCCATATCTTCTATATCATCGTTAGTATTTGGTAAATCTCCGTCGGGATTTAAACAAATTTCTATCATGTTGAATATTGCTTGTTGGCCCCACTCTTCATCCCGACGAGCATAATTAAAGAATTTCAAGGCACTGTTTGGATTGGAGCTGTACCATTCAAAAAGACCTTTACAATAATTTAATCCAGCGTTATCAAGTGGATTCGGACAAGATTGTTCTGCCCGGGATAAAAATGCAGATGCTTCATGCAAAGTTCCTGAGCGACGCATGACTTCAACAAGACGGGCAAGTGCTGTCCAATAATTTGGTTGAGCTATTAAAAGTTGGGAGAAATGATAGGCAGCGCTTTCGAAATCCATCTAAAATGTAAAAATAATCAAAAATGATGTATTATTTCTATAAACATTAAAAAAAAATGCATGTATATACACCTTTCTAAAAGACAAATCAGCCATCATTACTGAGGCAGCTTCATTATTGGCATCAATTTGTAAAATATGTGAACACATTTCTTTGCATTGTTCAAGCTGATTTATTTGCATATAAAGACGAGCAAGGGATGCCAGTACCACAATATCAGAAGGAGTATATTTTAAAGCTTCCATATAATATTTGCATGCCTGCTCATTTTCTCTTAAACTTATAGATTGTTCCGCCATTAAAACACAAATTCTATTTAATGAAAAATAAAAATCAAATTCAAGGTAAATATTTTTTAACATCTATTTATATAATTTAAACGTATTTACTTAGACAAAATTTCATGTTGTTCATTCAAATTCCCAGATTGTTCAATGCTAGTCCGCTTTTGCACTCGGTACTGATTATCGCGTGCTTCTTTTAATGTCATCAACGACGCACTTAAATTTCCTGCCTTTTCGCGAATTCTAGCTAACAGTAGCAATTGTTTTGTACGCATTTGCAAAACGCTTATATCATTTTCATCTCTAAATAGAATAATAAAATAATTTAATTTTGTATAATTAAATTCATTTTTATCAGGATAAGAGAGATAATAATATTGATGTGAAATTAACACATCAATATTTAAATAATTATCAAGATTGGTTTACTTCCTTTGGTGGTTTCTATAAAATTTGTTACTAATTTTTAAATATTTGTCTTAATTTTTTATCAAAGATAACATCATATAAATTAATAATACAAGAAGAATTTATGTAAACCAACATTACTGAAAAAAAATTTTTTAAAGATCCAAAAGTGTTGTAACCATGAAATTAAGAAAAAAGCGGATGGACAGATAGTAAATGGTAAAATTTATATTTAATAAGCAAATAATTTAATAAGAAAATATGTATGAATACGTAACTATGTGTATTTTTTTAAATCAAATCTACTTTTAAAAATTTGTAAAATTTTGAAATAACAATCAACAAAAGAAAAAATTTATTAATTACAAAATTAAAAATATTAGACGTAACATCTAATCAAAGTCAAATTGGAGCCGCTTATAATGAAAGCGTCTGAGGAAGATTCAAGTATATTAAAACACGGTAAGAACCTAGTGATGTCTTGCAAACACCTAATTCAATTTCTTAAAAGGAATGCATATTTATTTACATACACACATATGGATGTGTGCAGATGTATGTTAGTTTCCATTTTTTAATAACACAGGGGATGGGAAATATCAAAAAAAAATTTAGTTTATAAATGTACATACATATCAAGTCAAGCAAATATGTACATACGTAAATTTGGTTTCTAAAATTCATTCTTACATTATTGTAGGAAAATGAATATAAACATGTACCATTAAGGCGCCTTGCGATTAATGTAGAATTTCTTTTTTGATTTGCATGTCAATTAGCATGCAGAATTGTTAAAATTGATGTTTTGGCAATTTTTTACCGAAAAATTTTGAATTACCGAAAATTTTTGAAATAGTAATTTTTATTTCTTACTAACATGCAACTTATATTTTCATATGTAATTCCGATTGCAAAATTCAATTTTAATTTAAAGCAGGTCCAGATAAACAATATATTAATTGCACTGAAAATAATGCTACTGAAGAAAATAAAACTAATGAATTGGAACATTCCATTAATTTTCACAAAAATGACCTGGAAACACACAACACAGAAGAATTTTTAAGAAAAGTACAAATGATAAGTCGAAATACAAATCCATATTTGAAGTTAGTTAATACCGCGGTATATGGCAATTTTGGCTGCAAGTGCTCTGAAAATCAAACGAATTTTTACAAGGCTGCCGAAAATTTTGCATTATTTGGATTTGGCGACTCACTTGATTCAACATTTCATTTTCATATAAACAATAAAATACAAAATGATACAGAGGAAAAATCAAATATTCCAATTAAAAGGCATGAAAATATGGAGTGTTCATTATATAGCACATCAGAAAAATTATTTTCCAGAAATACTTTATATCCTGTTTTACCAGAAGTTACTCAATCAAATATAGCTTTTCCTAAGCCATTGAACATAATTTCATCTCAACAAATTTCAATGCATTTAAATCAACCATCAAATATTATTATAAACTACCCAACAACCTCTTTGGTGCAATATTATTCAACTCCTATTAGCTCAACAAAATCAATTCCATATGTAAATACAGCTACTTCGGGATATTTAAATGAATCCTTAATCATACATCAGCAACACATTAATACTTCGATAATACACCAGCCAAATCGACAACAATATCTTTACAATGGTGGGATACCTTTTGGCATGCAATATTTGGGAATTTACAATGCTCAATTGCTGCAAAGAAGTCAACAAATCACCCAAAGTATAGATCTTAACAATAAATTATTTTGGCAGTATCAGACAAAGGCGGCAACTGTAATAAATCCTGTGACACAAATTGAATCAACAAATCCTAACCAAATAAAATTATCTAGTCATATAAATTGAAATTCCTACTTTGAATTTTCCATCTATTATAAAAAATTAAAAACATAACTAACTAAATAAATTTTCTATTTATATTGCGCACATTTCGATTTTTTGATAAATTTTCAAAAATTATTCAGTTTTTAATCAAATGAAGTGCAATATTACTCACATTTTTTCCAAATCCAAATCTTCTACTAGAGTCTTTTCAGCATTTGCAAATTGTTTCAACTTCAAATATAGTTCAGCTAAATCTAGTTTTAAAATAGAATGATCCGGATTCATAACGGCCTCACGGTAATAATTTATAGCTCTAGCATATTGATGCGTTTTGACATATGCTTTTCCTAATTTACTAGCCAGTAGTGAATCACTTGGATTTTTACTAATAGCTTGTTTATAAGCATTAATAGCAGATTCCGGCTCTAAAATCGTTTTAAATAAATCAGATTGGAAATATAAACATTATTTGGAGTTTTTTTATTTTACCTTGTATAGACATGTAAGCATCACCAAGCATTAAATAACTCTCTGGCTCAGGATAATATTCCACAAGTTCTTTAAAACATTGGGCGAATGCAATTCTGTCCTTCTTGTGGTGAAGATATAAATTAGCCAAACTGTTTTTAGCCTGAAATTCATTATAAGAATTAAAATATAAATAATACAACCTGAAAGCTTAAGCTTACTTGCAGGTAGTATAATTGTCCTGGTTGGATAGATTTTAACAATTCTATTGCTTTATTAACATTACCCTTTTGTAAAACAATATCTGCATTTGCTATTGCTAATCGTCCTTCTTCTGGGGTATTCGAAAATTCTTCGAACGCACATTGCATTAATTTCTCACTTTCCAAATTTTGACCTAATTGGGCGTACGTATCAATTAACTCTAAAAATAAAGTAACTTTGTCAGCCAAAGTTAAAGTTGGTTTTTCCGCGGTTTTTCCCGTTCCCTTAACAGGAGTTGATACTTTGAGGTTCGATGTAGTGACACTTTTAACTCCGATCAAGTTCATAGCGGTTAAGAAACTTTTTTGTGCATCTTCGTACTGCAGTTGAGACTTTTCAACTATCCCGTGTAGTAAATGGTAAAAAGGGTTTTCACGTACTTTAAAGTTGTGGGATAAACAAATTTCTAAGTTTTGCAATCCTTTCATAAATTGTCCTTGTTGAATATGAATCTGGGCTATTAATAAATGTGCATTCACGTAGGTTGGATCAATTTCATTTAAAATTTTTGATAAAGTATTTGATGCAAACGAATTTTCACCGCATAAGAATTGCACTTTAGCCAGAAGAAATGTTGCTTTTACTAAACCGGGGCAAGCTTTAACAACAGTTTCCAAAATATTCAAACAATGTTTTAATGAAATATGTAGAGATTCTTTGGAAATAGTAACACCAATTTTTAGTTGCTGCTGGACTGGGGAATGTTGCAACATTTCATCCACTACCAATAAAAGAAAATCAGGGTCAAAGCGTTGCAGATACTCGGGACCAAACGATATGGTTTTCAAATTTTTAAAATGTATTTCGCAAGCTTCAATCAAATAGTTTATTGATTTATCAGCATTATCGGCAATTTTTGCGGTCATATATAAAAGTAAAGGGATTTTATCAATTCCTTGAATTTCTGTTAAGAACTCAATTTGCTGTCGAACTTGTTCTGTGGTACCGCTTTCTGCGAATTGGCACAATGTTAAACCACAAAGCGCATAAATTGAGCTATCATCAACCTTAGTAGCTGAACGAAAATATTTTACAGCATCCTTGTAATTCCCAAGTAAAATATATTCATAACCTTGTTCTGTTATAAATTCCGCATTTCCCGGAGATGCCTTTTTGATGTAAAAATAATTTTTATAATTTTCTGATTTTTTTTATATTTTGGCATACTCACCTGGACAATTTTATCGACATATTTTATGGTCAATGAAAGAATTTCCGAGTTTCTCCCACTGACTCGCGAAAATAATTGACAAACACTCAAAATTAGTTTTAAGTTATTCAATTCCACACGTTCTATTGCCGAAAATAGCTGTTGTAATACCTGTAAACCAGTTTTAATATTTCCTTCACGGCATATTAGTAAAAGAGCCTTAATTCTTAATGCAGATATGTTTGTAGGTTCTAAATTTATTATTCGATTTGCAGTTTCAAAACTATGGTCCCAATTCCAACTAGCTAGTTGAGTTTCCATTTTTTCTGTCAACGGAATATTAAGCTCTGGAAATCTTATCGAAAGTTTGTTCAAAACAGCAATTGCATTTTCAAAATCTCCACATATCTGATAGTAATAAACTTGTCCTAAAGAAGCATCAATATTTTTACCCTTTTCTAGAGCTTTTTCAAATACGTCTAAAATAGTTTTACTTGCTCTAGGGTTTAAGTACAATTCGCACCAAGCTTTCAAAATAGAAGATTGATAGAAATCTGCATTAAGACGTAATGATTTTTCACAGTATTCCCTTGATTTTTCAATTTTGCCACTTAAAAATAAAAATAATGCGGCATTATATGCAGAATTCTCTGTCAACTTCTTACGTTCTTCTTTCAACTTTGCATCGAGGCTAATAACAGCTTCTTTATCAATGACATTACAACGTTTGTGTCCATAAATTAACGCCAAAACTGATGCCATTGCAAAATCTATATCATTCTTTAAGGGATTAAGTTCTCTTATACCTTCCTGTACTCGATTTCCTAGTACTAAGGCAAAGCCATTAAAAAGGCGAAAAGAAGAATTCCTCGAATGTTTTGCTAAACCATCTAAAGATGCTTTTTGCATTGAGTGATAAAATTTTTTGCGTCCATAATATAAAATAAGACTCACATAATCTTCTTCATCCATTATTTTATTTATATTTTGACAATTACGAATATTTTTTTTTTATAAAATTCTCAATTAAACTAGATATTTTTTATAATGTTGACCATGTTTCTCTAAATAACTTTTTAAAAATTCACAATGTACTTCCATCTTCAGATTATTTTTAGCGACATATTCAAAAGTTTTCTGCAAAATAAAACAAAGTTTTCTTATTATATAATTTTTAATTAATAATATAGTTGTTATTTAAAATAGCTTTAATCCAAAACATTCAAAATAATTTTTAAAAAATTTCATAGTATGTAAAAAAGCAACAACTCAACCTCTGCCAGAATCTTGCCTACACCACGACCTCCTAAGCTTTCTGGTACTTTTGTATGATCCAATTTTAACACGGTTCCTTTTTTACTATATTCGACAAATGCTTTAGTACCATCAACTAAAACGTAAAATTCTTTTTTATTCGCGTCATTGATGAATTTTATATCGCAAATTGGAGAGTTCTTAACGTAGTTTCTGATAAAATTTGATGAAAAATTACTTAAAAGTCTTCTATTTAATATTAAGTCGCTTGACAGCTTTGAGAACATTATTTAAATTTTAAATATTTGGTTTCTTTAAAAAAAAAATATATTTCTAATCAAAATGTACAAAAGGTTTATTTACTATAAATAGATATTTTGAAAATATTGTGTAGGTAGATTTGATATTTTCCTCCAAATTTGACATTGACACTTATAAAGAATGTATGTATGTATTCTGTTTTCAAACAATTCAAGAAACACACTTGCAAATTCTTATCGACACTACATAACTAATGCACATTCAATGAAACTTTATAAACCTTAAAAATTAAAACATTCATTTTAAAACTTTCTCAAAGCACTTACCTTTGCTAACAGTGTGCCATATCCTTGGCCTCTCAATTTTAATGGAACTTCAGCATGAATTAATCCAATAAAATTGTCCTTTCTTTCGTATTGTACAAATGCTTTGTAAGGCGAAATTTCCAAATATAAGATTTGATCTTTTATATCGTCAATTAATTCAATTGTTTCGACATTATTAATTTGTGAAGATATCATATTTAATAAAACGAACCAGATTTTTTAAATACATCACAAAAATCTTAAAAGCTAACATATATTAAGAACAATTTGGGAAATATCTTAGAAATTAGAATGTTATATTTGCTATCAATTAACATAAGTACGCTAATTTGTTTTTGAAGAAAATTGTACCAAATGTCAGATGAATACCGATCATATAGACAAAAGTTTGCTGTCTAATTAGCTTGCAACTTAAGTTCACAGTACAAAAAGAATTAAGTGTTGTTGTTTGGCTATTGTAAAACTTTTGTACAATATTTATAACCTCAGAAGTAAAAACTTTATTTTTAGAGAAACATCCAAAATATGAAAAAAACGTATTTTACTTATAAAAAGTATAAAACGTAGGGATTTGAGTTGACTTAACAAACTAAGTGGGAAATCGCTTGGTTGGTGCGAGTAGGATATTTTGTCCACTTTTCACCATAATGTAGTATTAGATTCCATGATGCCTTGGAGTTTACAAAGATGTGCAAGGAGTGTTTTTAGGTCTTTTGAATGAGTAGACTTGCAAATATGGAATCGGGGAGGTCATCTTTTCCTGCCAATCGGGTCAGCGTTCTACATGGCAGCTCTCAGCTTAGATTTGAGTATTTTAGTGTTTTAATTTCATTACAGTTACATTAAATTACAAATGTACAATATATATGTAAATTATAATATGAAATAAATATTTAAAAGAATTTTAAATTGATTAGAATAATTAATATACTTACATACAACCTATTTTCCTTATTCTACTTCTTTTTACACTTTTCGTTTTATTTCTAGAATATATTTCATTTCTCTTTGTAATTAATCATTATATACGTCTAACCTACTATATTTCTTTAGTAGCTTCGGAGTAGATTCCTGTACTCATATATTATTATTATAAACTTTGAATTAAAAGTATTTTTAAAACTCTAAAAAAATTATTTTTAAATTGAGTTTTTCCTACAGATGTCACTATTTTTATATATTACATCTAGTGAGAAAAATCAAAACTAAATTTTGTGTTGTTACGTTTTCATTGGCTAATTTCAACCAATCCGATCATTCCATTTGTATTTGAAAAATTTCATTTGGTTATTTCACTTTCACTTATAGTCCTTATTGGACTAACCAAGATTTTCTGTCCTGCTCAATAGTGTTGATATACATATAATATTTGACAGTTACTAGAAAATTTTTTACAGTCGTTAGTTGGCAGCAGAAGTGAACAAATCGAAGTGCAGATTTGTAGTGTCTAAAAAATAAATTTAAATTAGTCAAGAAATTTTTAATCTTAAGAAAGAAACGTGTTAATTAAATATAATGAAGTCATCTCTAGCCCTTTTATTAGTGGCTGCATTTTTATGCACATGTAATGCTAAAGTACATTATGAAGAAAATTTCAAAGATGGTAAGTTTAAGAATTATGAATGCTAATTAGAATAATATACAAGCCGGTTTTGTGACGTGGTGTATAAATAGTTTCATCCAAGTATATGTTTAAAAAAAATAAGTTTTTCTCTTTAATCTAATTAAATATGTACAATTTTTCAGATTCTTGGGAAGACACATGGATTTACAGCAAGCATCCAGGAAAAGAATTTGGAAAATTTGTAAGAACTTCTGGCAAGTTCTATAATGACGAAGAAGCAGATAAAGGTATGTACATACATATGTGTGTCTTTTGACTAATAACTATTTAATTGCATCTTCACAATATATAATTGAAAATAATTAAATATTTACAAAGGTATGTGCTTAATAACACTGTAGGAGACTTAATTTTGCCTACGTATGAAAATCTATATGAGTTTATATTACCAACCGATATACATACATACATATGTACAAAAGTTTGTGCATGTACGTGTGTACCTTACCTATCTACTTTTTTTTTTTACAATATGTACGTACGTTTTGAAGCGATTAAAAATTTTTGTTTTAGAAAATCTAATTTCGCTTTAACTTTGATGAAGAATTGTGGTTGAAAATATTACGAATAAATATGTCTAATTATTAATTAAGTTCACCTAATAATAATTCATTTATAGATTGTTATCTGGTATAATAAAAAAAATGTAGACATAAGCTGTATCTACCCAAGTACATGCCGGTGTGTGGTGCTTGCAAATATATACATATTGAATAATTCATTATCGTGCATTTAGATATCTAGCTACCTATAACTAATATTAATTTCAAATTAACTACTTTATTTTTATAAGTACGTTTAGGTAGGTAGGTAAGTAATATTTATGTACATATCTGGTATTTTATCAATCAGGAATCAAAATTTACATATTATCATAGTTTACATATTACCTACCTCCTTAGTACACATGCACAGTATAATAACTAATTATTAAGTGAATATGCACTTGTAATTAGGTCCCTATATTGTACTTATTTTATACATATATACTTAATTATAGTTAGGTATAGTGTAGTAAAGTACTTAGTTAGGAAATATTCATAAGTACAACACGTACCTACTATTGTTAATTATGTTAACGATAATATATAATTGTATTCTAATAAAAAAATACGAGAAATAAAAAAATTTAAAATAAAAATTTTTCATTTATCTAATAAACATACATTATATTACTAAATTGCCACATGAGCAGAAAATTTTACCGGCAAAAAAAAAATTATGTAAATACTTTTAATTTGTACGTGGTAAATATTATATAAAATTTAAAATTTTATATTTATGTTAAATTAGAAAGAATTTTGTTTTTTTTTTTTTTTCTTAATTAACACAATTAAATTGTTAAATATTATTCTTGTTATTTGCAACGTTTCAATTTTGAAAAGGCATTGAACCCGCGAAATTAAACAACACAAATGCTTATATATATTGTTACCTATCTACATATATGTACGTATATTTTTAGTCGTGATTGATCTACCGTTTATAGGGGTATTTCTAGAGAAATAATTTTCGTATATAAGAAAAGCAAAATTGTTTGATACATAAATGTTCATATGTATGTCGTTATATACCTATACGTTAAAAATTATTCTTTCTAAATTTAAATATACCAATATTTTAACTTTCATTCTTAAATAATTTTGTTTATATTACTACTTTTATGTTTGGAGGAATATATTGCTTCTATAAGTATATGTATATTATATACGTATTTGGTGATTACATATAAGTATAATTATACTATTTAGTACAAGTCATTGTAAAAATTTAACATTTCAACAAAAAATGTTGAAATTATTTGTTCTCAACGCAATTTAATGGCGTTGTTTTGAAATTTATATGAACGTCTTAACTTTGCTTTGTTCTTTTGTTGTCTAAAATTAAATCTTTTTAATATTGGCAATTAATAATATTTCATTTTTATTATTTATTTAAACTAGTTAAAGTATAAATTTTTAATTTACATGCATATATGTGAAGAGATACTTTCTTTGTTTTAATTCTTAGTAAGCTATAAGGTTACAAACACGAACATAAATCGAAATCAAGAAATATTAAAATTAACTTGTTTTTTTTTTCTTGTTATTTTGCATTTTAGGTTTACAGACATCTCAAGACGCCCGCTTCTATGCTTTATCTCACAAATTTGCACCGTTTACAAACAAAGATAAGCCTCTAGTTATTCAATTCTCCGTAAAACACGAACAAAATATTGATTGCGGTGGTGGATATGTTAAGGTGTTCGATTGTTCACTTGACCAGACTGATATGCATGGTGAATCACCATACGAAATAATGTTTGGGCCTGATATATGTGGTCCAGGAACTAAAAAAGTTCATGTTATTTTCAGTTATAAGGGCAAAAATCATTTAATTAATAAAGAAATCAGATGCAAGGATGATGTACATACTCATTTCTATACATTGATAGTCAAACCAGATAATACATATGAAGTATTAATTGATAATGAAAAGGTTGAGTCTGGAAATCTTGAAGATGATTGGTCATTCTTACCACCAAAGAAAATTAAAGATCCAGAAGCAAAAAAACCTGAAGATTGGGATGAAAGAGCTACAATTCCTGACCCAGATGATAAAAAACCAGAAGATTGGGACAAACCAGAACATATTCCAGATCCAGAAGCTGTAAAACCAGAAGATTGGGATGATGAAATGGATGGTGAATGGGAACCAGCAATGATTGATAATCCTGAATACAAAGGAGAATGGACTCCCAAACAAATTGATAATCCTAATTATAAAGGAGTATGGCAGCATCCAGAAATTGATAATCCTGAATATACACCGGATAGCAATTTATATTTACGTAAAGAATTATGCACAATTGGTTTCGATTTATGGCAAGTAAAATCTGGCACCATCTTCGATAATATCTTAATTACTGATGATCTTGAGTACGCTAGCAAAGTAGCCGGTTCTGTTAAAACTACCCAAGAAGGTGAAAAAAAAATGAAAGATATTCAAGACGAGGAGGAAAGAAAGAAAATGGAAGAAGAATCCAAAAAGGACGCAAAAGATAACGAAGATGATGAAGATGATGATGATAAAGAAGACGATGATGTAACAACTGGCCAAGCAGATGCTGATGATTCAAATGAACATGATGAACTGTAGAAATAAAATGCCGTATAGTTTACGAAAACAAACTTTAGGATACTAGGTTAAATTAAAAATAAAATAATTTTTGAGTTTGTTGGCGAAAAAATTTGTATTAGAACTTTTTTTAATTATTTATGAATGATTAAAGTATATAATTATATGTATACATTTTTGTATATGAAAAAAAAGAGTGAATCACAATATTAAATATATGAACGTTTGATTTTTAAATTATGTTGATTATTTTAATTTTAAGATACAAAATATTTTTCTTTTTGTTTTTCCGATTGATTTTCTTTTGTTTTTGGATTTCGAATGCTATTTTTTCACATCGCGCAATATATAGGTTCCAAAAAATCGTTTATCACTACACTATTTTTTAAAAACATTTGGATCCTTATAAATAAGTTTTTACATTTCGATTATAATAATCTTTTTTGTAAAATGACTGATTATTTAGTAAAGGAGAAATAAAAAAAATTTAAAAGTTTCGCATTACAATTTAAATCTTTTGCTTTTTATTTACAATATGTGTATTTAACTTGAATACGCCTACCGTGAGTTTTGTATTTTTAAATAAATCCAAAAATATCACATTTAAAAACATTTAAAAGAACTGCAGGGCTTTAGAATTTCTCACATTGAATTTGTACGCGAAGCTTTAATGCTTTGCAGTTCTAGTATTAAGAACTGCACTTTTGAAAAACCACTATATTTTTATACATATATGTATGTATGTAATTATATCTGAAAATATTTGTATAATAATGTACCGAGAGTATTAAAACAAAAGAACGATCAAGAAAATAATTATTTACAATTGCGATTGGTTTGTAAATTACACAAAAGTTGAATTAGTTTTTTGACTTTAAATTAGCAGTGGGATGAAAGAAGCCGTAATTGCAGGAGCAAGAATATCAATAGGTAAAAGATTTTGTATTTTGCTATTTGCGAAGTTTCTTTATCCATTCTTTACTTAAAACTTAGATAATTTTTTAATTATATGTGTGGAAAATGGAAGTACAAACATAAATTCGCAATAAAATAGAAGAACGTGCCTCTGCAAAAACTTTTAACTATAATATATTAGCAGTATCATTTGTACTGGCTAGGAAGCAGTTCCAAATTTTAGAGAGGTATAATTATGTACTCTTTATTAGGCTCGTTGATACTTTAATATCGAACGGGTTGTGAACTTAGTATATATATGAGCTATGTTATATGTATGTGCTCTTTTTTAAACTATAATTATAACCATTATAATAAATTAAGAACTTTATAAAAAATTGTGAAATTGTTATAACAATTTCTCCATCTTGTGTAAAGGTCATTCATACAGCAATTTCCAACTTTATTTTTTAAAGTTACAGTGAATTTTTGCTTCTATCCTCAATACATAAATATCGACTTTAATTCCTTATATTTTAAGTTTAGAGTGAATTATGAATTTCAAAAAATATATATATTTTTACTCTATAAAAAAACTCATGCTTGGTGCATTGAAACTTTTTTGATACACATGTATGTGTATATAAAGATACATTATAAAACATGCATAAATAGATATTTGATAACTTTAATTACATATTATGTACCTACATAATATCTATTTACATGCATAAATATATTATGTATATTAGGCATGCACCTACATTATTATATCACAATATTGTGAGATTTCATCTCATCTACTTCACTTTAAAGAATAATGAACTTAAAAAAATGAGTTTAAAATAAATTAGTAACGTGTGCAATTGAAACAGTCAATTGCCGGGAAATAGTACAGCTTAACGAATTTGTACTAAAATTTCTACCATAAGCATTATGAATATATAAAATGCAATAAGATTATAAAGTCATTTCATATTACAAATTTGAACGAAATACATGTAATAAAATAAATTTATTTAGGAAATTAAATAGAATAATTAATTTTGAGCAACTTTATTTAAATACTGCAAGATGCACTACACTTTGTCACAAAATATTCATTTACGTTGTTTAATATTTGAATAAGCTATCAAGTATTTTCTATATGATAATTTTTTACAAGTAGCAACATGTGAAACATGCACTAAGGATTCGATATTTGCGCCTTACCACTTGGGTTTGGTAACAATTTTCCTCATATTTTCAAAAATAAATTTTTTTAAAGGAACTTCATATACTTTAAAACTATTTCATATTTTACGATTTCGTAAACTACTCATTGGAGTTTTTTGATAAAATTTTTTAATTCTTGCAAACACTATGTACATACAGTTGTTCTATTAATATTATTAACAATAAATTATTAATAATTTCATAGAGTTTTGAGAACTATTATTTTTCCATAAATTGGGTTATTAATATGGTTGCAGACTGTATGATTGATTCTATATTGTGCAGCTCTGTCTAGAAAATACATGTTAAGATGAAAAATTGGTAAATATTTTGTATATTATATAAATATACAAGCATGTATATATATTTCTCTACAAAAAGGTAGAAAAAATGAAAACCTCCAGTTATTTATATGTTTTAACATGTGTATATATAAAAACATAACTTATAAGTTATTATAACTAGTTATGTTTATATTTTGTTTATTTTTATGTATATGTACTTTTTTTTTTTGTTTTTGCTTTTTTCTAACCTCAACACACAAGTTAATAAGCAAAAATATAAGCAACTGTTAAATCGTTATTTTTTTTTTCTGCTTTCAGTTACTGTTGAGCTTTCATTGTGAAGAGTTGATATTTCAAGTTTAATAAGAATATTATATGTTACTCTAATATAATTTTAACACAAAAACAAGGTTAACAAAAAAATAAGAACAAAATATAAATATACTATAACTGTATAGTTTTTTTTTATATAAAATTTTTAAATATAAATGTACAATTAAAAAAAAGTAGTTATATACGTATATATACATTTTTAAATCTATTAAATAAACACAAAAATTAACTTTAATTCGAAATCAAAATACAAAAATCTTGTTCAAAATCAACAAATATTTGAAAATAAATTTTTAATTATTTTAATTTCAAATTTTGGATGTTACATTATATTTTTCTAAATAATCAAATATTTAAATTTGAAAATATATATGTAAAGATTATTTCACATTTATTTCGAAATAATAGCAAAGAAATTTAAAAATTCTAACACAAAAAATTATTATTTAACAAAATATAATTTTTATTATTTATATGTATAACTAGTTTAAAATTATTAATGAAATTGTGAACAAAATTTTAAAAAAAGAAGTAACGGAAATTTCAAGTGGTTTTTTAATATTTAAAAAAAAGAAGAAATTGATAATATGTTTATACTTTTTTAATTATAAATCATATTTATAAAATATTTTTCCTTATATATACCTACACAGATATGTGCTATAATTAATTGAATTAAAATTAATTAATAATTAAATTGTGTAAATTTCTTAATTAAATATTTAAATTTAATTGAATTTTTTATTGACATATATGTATATACAAAATAAAGTTCATTCAAAATACTATAAAATATTATAAAATTAAAATTTACATTTGAGTGCAAGAAATTAATAATTAACTTCAAAATTTTTAAGAATGTATGAAAATAGAAAATCAGTATTATCATGCATTAATTGTTTTAAAACAATATAATAAAATATAAAATCATTTATAATATTATAAAAAATTATATATTATATACATATATATATATACACTTAGTTAAAACACAAAAGTATATAATCCCGATCAAATAACATCAATTATAATTTTCTTTTTGTTTTGTATTTATTCAATTTTCAGCTTATACGTGTTCAAATTTTTGGATGGATAATATTTAAGAATATAATACATAATATATAACACGAGAAAATACATTATTATATAAAGTAAATATATATATAAACACATCACGAACCACTTATATTCAGGTAACTTATTTTATTCCTGCTATAGTATTTATTTATAAGCCATATAATATTCGTTCGTGTTATTTGCTTTTATTAATATTTTTTGTTTAATAAATAATGTTCAAATATGTATTCGTACATAATTATAAGTATGCATATGTACAAACATTTTGTATAAAATATGTTTGTGCGTCTTTGTAGAACTAAACGTTATTTATCGTCATTGGGTTTTATTTCTTTATTTTATTTTTTGTTCATTACACAAAAAGTAACAAAAAATTCAAAATAAATAATAATAAAATTTTTTTTTTGTTATATCTTTTAAATTTCAGGGCAATCCACATGTTCCATTTCCTGTTTGTAGAATATAAATTGGCAGAACGAAATTTTAATAATTTATTTTGTTAACAAATGAAAGTGTTTTGTTATTAATCGATTAATAACGTATAAAAATAAAAATAAAATAAAGAATATATATTAAAATATTTTAAAATATATTTATTTATAAAAAATATATTAAAATATTTGTATGTTTGGGTTTTTTGCTCAACTTCTGAAATTACTTCAAATATAGATAGATTAGTAGTAAGTATATCCAAAATTTAAGCCTTTTATAGTTCTTACTTAAATCTTAAAAATCTTTTTTTTTGATACTACTTTTGTAGTAAAAATTTATCGAAGCTTTATATTAAGATCTAAGTTATACTAAGATCGGAATTTTCGAAAGTTCCCATTGTTTGCTCAATTTTATAATTTTAATATTTAAATTGTTTTATTTTCTTTAAAACTGATTATATTTTTTCCATAATTTAGTACTTACCATAACTTATTTGAATTGAAATAAATTTTCTATACCCATAAAAATAAATCTTCATTTTTTTTTTCAAAATACCACCATTACCTAAATAGTATTATTGATTTTTATTTCTTAACGAAATTGGAGTTTTGTTCTTTTTTTTCTAATAAAAGTAAAAATGGTTTAAAAATATAAAATTAAATTATAAATTAATATTTGTTAAATAATTAAATTAATTTAATTGAAGGTCAAAAATTTCGTAGTTTAAAATCTGCTTTTTATTTAGCAGTCTATTAAAATATTGATTAAATATTAAACTGATATTTATTTTCTAATTAATATCTGATTTTGTTGTATTATGAAGTTTATATTAAAAACAGAATTTTTACTTTTTTTGTGTACTTTTCAATAAAACCAATCATAAATCAAAATGGACTCTATTCCAATGATAAAACTTGTTTTCTCATAAGCATGCTACATTCTGTAAGCACATTTTTTAAATTTAACATCACAGGAACAATTTCTCGTGATAAATAAAATTAAAAAATAGTTATATATTATTATTGAAATTTTATTAATAAAATTTTTTATTATTGAAATTCATTAATGAAAATAAGAAATAAAAAAACTAATAAAATTCAATCATCTTATTCAATAAATTTTCATTTTACGATTTTTTTTCATTTAAGACATTTTACGATTTTAATATCTAGGTTGAAATTCATTGTATGTAGATGATCTAGAATATAAGTTCAATATAATCGCTTTTAAGCTACCGAATTTATGATTACCCTTTATAAATATGTGTATACATACAGGCATTAAACAAATACATCTGTTTTACAAGTAGCAAATTTAATAAACTTAAAGGTAAAAAAACAAATGACGATGAGAAGAGGGAAAACAAAAATAACTATCAACATTTAAAACAATTTTCAGTTTTTTTTTTCTTTTTATTATTTTAATTTCTTTATTTGATTTTTTCATGATACATATTATAAGTATGTTTTCTATATGTGAATATAAATATTGTACATGTTTGTAATAAACGTATTTAAAACAGTTATTGTGCAAAGTGAAAGGTTTTTATAGGTGATCATATTTCTCTGTTTTGCTTCGTTTTTTTTTTTTTTTGGTTATTTCTTATTTCATGAAATTATATCTGAATATTATAACATGTATGTATGTATGTTTTTCATTACAATGTGCATGAGTATGCACTTAAAGAGTTCAATATTGTAAAACATAAACTGAACATTGGAGCACTTTTATAAAAACTGAGTTGAACATTCCAAAATAAATAATTTTTGTCAAAATTCTATTTAACCATCTTTGACATTTATCTAAAAATTATAAATATTAAATTGGAAAATCAAGCATGTAGATACTTGTAACTAAATAAAAATTCTTAAGCTCCTGAAAAAAAATATTATCAACTTAATCATAAAAAAACTAAGTATGTAATTTAATGTGGGATTTTGTAAAAACAATGTTTAGTAAACTTTTAAATATGTTCTTATCTATGTTTTACTCTTAATCGATAGTGTTTCTTACGAAAAAGAGGTACTTACAAGTGTTTTTAATTGTCACGCAGCTGTGTTAAACAAATAAAAAATTTTGTTGCGATGTCGTTGGGTCTGTGCTCTGTTTATCTTTCGGATAATTTAAAGTACAGATTTTCTTGAAATTTTTTGTATAAAATCTATCTGATAACTTAATGAAACTTTTTGAAACAATCTTGTCACGTAAATCGAACTTGTGTTATAGGGACCGATTATAGATATCTAAATAAGATATTTATTTATAATATACAGATATTACCAGAATTTGGAAACTATATCTTCTGTAAAAAATCTAAAAATTTATGATTAATCAAACGAATTCTAGTTTCAAAATTGTTTGTTTAAACTAAAAATTCATACTCTCTCTAATACTCAATAATATTATTTATTCTTATAAAGGTAGAGTTATGACTGTATAAGTAATGTGTTTACATTACTTAAATTTTAATTCTGAAAAGACGAACATTAATTTTACAATTTACAATTTCTTCCAACTATACATTTGAGATTTAGGTTTGCGTAAGATCAAAAAAAATTTTAAATTGAATGTAAAATTTATTTGAACCTTAATTCTAGGTATTCCCGTTCAATTACTAAGAATTAATATTCATGTTATACAACTGTATTGTTTTAAAAATATGAAAATATAAAATTTGTATAATGAAAATTAATTATTGTTCTTCAAAGCTTTTTTTATTTTTTATCTTTACTAATTTCAATATCTAATTGCTTTTACTTAATTAACTTAACAAACAAAAACAAAATTTTTAAATTTATTATTAAAAAAAATTAAAATATTTCAATTGGAATTCCCAATAATTATTAAAAATAATTTTCAATTATTAAGAATTTTAATATTTTTGATTGTGTACGAGAAATCTAATATTTTGCATTTAATATTAAAAAATTTTTTTCAGGAATTTTAAAAATTAAAAGAAAATCTTTTGTACCTTTTCAAAGACAAATATTTCAAAATATCAAGAAATTTAACAAAATTTTCAACTTTTATTGTCAATTGAATAAATATGTTCTGCTGATTAAAATCTTGTGAACAGAAGATAAGATAAAATAAATAGAAAAATAGTTAAATATCTAAGTCATTATTTTGTCATTAAAATTTCAAGAATTTTTGAGACAAAGCACTGAAGTTGGAAAAAAGTTATGAAAATAAATATTTAAATTTTGAATATTTAATATTTGTAGGAGTTTCTAATGGTGTCGAAAAACACTGATAAATTGAAATTCATATAAAAATCATTTTCAATTATTATAATCATTTACTAACTTCTAAAACCAAACTGACTGTACGTTAATGCAGAAATAGTCTGGAACATTTTTGAGGCACATGATAATTATCTATTCAAAAGCAGTGATACTTGATGCTTTTTCCGTGATGAAATTTATGTTTAAGTTCTTTAATAAAAGAACAATATACCTTATGTTAATATAATTATATTAATTACATACACATATTGTATAAATATATGTATTTAATGTATATGTAATTTATTAATTATTTTATTATTTGAAAAATGTAATAAAAATGCTAATTAGCTACACAAAATTCTTACATCTATTTTTAATAAAATTTATTCGAAATTTTTTATTGTCATCTTACCAAAATACGTATATGAATAAGTGTATGTCATTATTGTTTATTTATATTAATTACTTAAATAACGCTTCTTTTTTTATTGTTACGACAGTGTTAAAATTTTCTGATTGAATATTTTAAAATTATATATTTTTGGGGCGTCACAAAGAAGCAAATAATGCCTTTTTCCGCCGAATCTTACTGGCATCGTTGTGAACAAAATAAAGAAAAACATTAAATAATATTACTATAATTTTATTATTTGGCTATATACTTACATACATATTTATAAGTATTTATTTTTAATTTTTATTGATTCTTTGTTTGTGTACAAGATTTCTTTTTCTTTAAACAAGGAAGGCATTCCATTATGATAAAATTATGTACAGCTTCTTTGTGCGTTCTATACTAATTGTTATAACATTTACAGTGAACCATATTATTTTATTGAAATTATACTTATTATGAATTACTTACACATAGTTTCATTCGATATTCCTAAACGAAAAAGAAAGTTCCAGATTTTCATGTAACTATACTATAACATTAAATAGGAAATTCTTTTTAAACACAGTGAGATCAGTATAAGTGAAATCTTTTTATATAAACAAAGGCTTTCATTGAATATTTCTATGTATTTAAAATATCTTCATTTATTTTTTAAAACAAATGTATATTTTTTTCTTATATAAGTTAGAATCAAATGAAACTGAATTACGTAATACATTAAAAATAAAGTTACAAAATAGCCTTTTTTTCTTATATCATTCTCTTCTTTATTACTATATCACGTTGCATACATTTAGGAGGAATCTTGAAGTTGTAATAATTATGAAAGAGTTTATATTAGAATTTATATTATATCTAGCTCAATCTTTATGAAATTAGATTGCTTATTAATTCAGTTAAGCCAAGAGTTTTCGTTCCTGTAAAAAAGGAAATAAATCCTATACTTATTTCAATAGGAGTTGGAAAGTTTGTATGGTTTTAAAATAATAAATTATTACAAAATGGAATTGTGTTAATTTTATAAAGTAGAATAAGTCGAAAGTAGAGATTATAAGTATTG